TATATACGCTACCAGGCAATATATAGGCTGCAAAAAGATACAGGCTGGACATGAACACTGCCTACAGACAGATGGACGACCAGTTGCATAACATTAAGCACTGAATTTGAATCAATCGAAGGACTCAAACTTGCTAATGTGCATTGACCTAACATTCTCCTAGCTAAACTTGAAGTAGTTAAAGCTCCCATTTTAGATTATCAATGTCAGCTGAAAATCAATTAATTAATACATGTCTTCTCTTATAATAAAATTAATTACATGTGATATATATATTGATAAATTGTGTGTTTGTTGTAAGTAGACTGCATGGCCTAAGATATTCTGTGCCTTAATACTAGGATCATTTAAATACATCATTCAATAATTGAAATATAACATAACCTTTTGAAAGAAACGAAAGTCATTAAACTGACATGCACTTTACTTTTCGTTAAAAAAAATTCCTGCATTTTCTTAGTCAGTTTAGAATGTGTTATAATTACTGATATATTGCTCTCCCTGCTAGATCAATTATTTTATTGTTTGTTGAATGTTCACCATGCATATATAGAACATTTTTACAGTGTTTGTTGAAATTCAATTAATTGATGTTTACAAAGAATCTTGTCTCTAATATTAAAAGAAGCACTAGACTTATTGTGAAATTTCTATATAGTCAGTAATTGATTGACATTAATTATGCAATACAAGCGAGTGCAAAAATGGTCAATAAATTCACACCATGTTTCATATATATTAAAGCTTCAATTTCATATCAACAAAAGTAAACATTACAAAGACTATTCAGAATAAATCAATCATTTAGTATGGTTTAGCATGAATGTTTTTGCCAGGCATTGGCAGGTGTTTAAGCCCCAGGAACATTATATGACATTTTCACTAGGTTTGCACAATGTTGTTTTTCATTTTCAGAGCATTGTGAGATCTTAGAGAAAATGTACAGTGTTGCTGTGACAAAGTGTTGTTTCTGTATGTATATTGCTTTTCTATGGAGTTTTAGCTGACACAGTCACATACTCTAGGTTCTCGGTGCTTTCACAATGTCATTAGATGATTCCCCTGTGGTTTTATCTTTTACAATGTCATTAGATGATTCCCCTGTAGTTTTATCTTTTACAATGTCATTAGATGATCCCCCTGTGGTTTTATCTTTTACCCCTGTGGTTTTATTTTGTATTTTGTACAATGTCCTTAGATGATTCCCCCCCGTTCTTTTATCTTTTATTTTATCTTTTACAATGTCATTAGATGATGCCCCTGTGATTTTATCTTTTACAATGTCATTAGATGATCCCCCTGTGGTTTTATCTTTTACAATGTCATTAGATGATCCCCCTGTGATTTTATCTTTTACAATGTCATTAGATGATCCGCCGGTGGTTTTATCTAACACAATATCCTGAGATGACACCCCCCCCCCCCCCTCTCCTTGTTTTATCTTTTACAATGTCCTTAGATGATCCCCCTGTGATTTTATCTTTTACAATGTCATTAGATGACCCCCCTGTGGTTTAATCTTTCACAATGTCATTAGATGACCCCCCTGTGGTTTAATCTTTTACAATGTCATTAGATGACCCCCCTGTGGTTTAATCTTTCACAATGTCATTAGATGATCCCCCTTTGGTTTCATCTTTATCTTTTACAATGTCCTTAGATGACCTCCCCCTGCGATGTTCTATCTTTTACAACGTCATTAGATGACCCCCTGTGGTGTGATCACTGTGAGAATGTCCTAATATGATCTCCCTGTGGTTTTGTCTTTTACAATGTCTTTAGATGATCCCCCTGTGGTTTTATCACTGTGACAGTGTTTATTTTAAGCATGCTCAAAGTGCGGTCTCTTATGACACTCAGCATTCTATAAGTTCCCAAAGCAATGCCGCGATGCCACTCTAATGCTGCAGTAGTGGCTGCTGTCATCTGTCAATTACCCTGGCATTCTGAATTTTCTTGGATTCTTTAAGAAACCGCCATGGTGTCAAAGTGTTGTTGGTTTCTGTACTTATTTCTCTTCAAAGATATCAAACCACCTAAATTTCTCAGTGTAACTTTGATATATATATGTTTATCACAATGTTCACTATTGCAAAAGTTTTCTGACATTATCCTGGCAACCAACTGACAACAAACTGATGATAAATGACAGCTGACAAAAATATGCAATTAATTATTACAATGACATTTGATTCTGCAGTTTCAAGTGTGATAATATAAAGGAAAATCTTTGGTAAGATAAGGAGGAGAGATCTGATAATGCACTTCTGTCTTACCAGCATATAAATATATATACTGGACACGTCCATTAAAACATGGCGGCAAGAAATCATTGAACATTATGGAAAACTTATGGAGGAATTCTCCAACCAAATTTTCATAGAAAATGAGATTAGTATCATAAATATTTCTATAACAGCTTTAGCAGGTTTAGCAGGCACATACTGTTAATCAGCAAGTGACAATAAATGATGAACCTTGAATTAAAAATTACATAATCAATAAGGATATAAATCAATCAGGTTGTAATTAATAATGCTAATTTATACCAACATGTATATATGTGTGTAATCAATTAGATTTATTATAAATAAAAATCTTGATTGACAGTTTGACATAATGAGGGTGTCACGGAGAATATGGTATGTTCAATAAGCTAACAGCATGTCCTGGAATTTCAATAATGGAAGTTCAATGACTCTACTAAGTCTACATTACAAAATCAGGAATGATCACTCTATTTGTTTCATGCTTGTAAAAGGTAACATTTCATTTTTTTTCCTACTTAAACTACTATCTTTTATTTGTTAAAACATTGTTAAAATTTAGGTAATTTATACTTCTCATTCTCCATTCCCTCTCCCATTTGTTACAATGTAAAATACATGTAGAATTGAGTATTCAGTAGTTGAAATGAACAATATGATCTCCTATTTTTGTTTATTTAGCTAGTCATAATTGTATTCCTTCATTGTGATATTACTTGATTTTTGACTGTTATTTTCTGTTCTTTGTTTCTTATAATTATATGCCTTGGTTTAATAAAAACTGAAACACTCTAGTCATGTGTCTCTTTAATACCAGTTTGATAGAATGCTTTAACATGTAAACATATGCTTTTGCAGCTAAAATTAAACATTTGACAGCCATATTTAAATCCTTAGCTTGCTGGTTGCAACCAAATTTACCCATGTGACCAGTGTAGACGAAGATCAGCCAGTACATCTGTGCTGTCAAAATATGTGCCGTCTGATCATGGTCTACATAGTTAGTACACAATATTAGAAATTTCCCCTTAAAATGATGAATGGCTTCAAAACCTCTCAACTATACAAAGCACAGTTCAATTCAATGCAGGGAAAGTCTACTATAGATTGTAGCATCAATGTTAACAGTAAATAATACAATGGTTCTGTTACAAAGAAAAAATATATGACAATTTTCTTTGATTATGGACTAACTTACATAAGTCACCAGCTCCCAATTATGTCCAAGGTCTCAAACCCTGATATAAACAGAGTTTGTAAATAAAGCCTTCACCAAGAGATTTGATTGTGGATAGGGAGGATTTCATAGAATTATTCCTTAATCACCTTAATAGTAGAAACAAATATTATTTTGTAAATTGCTGGTTATTAAAGAAACAACAAGAGCTGTCCGTAAGACAGCGCGCTCGACTTTTTTATTGCTTGCCAATAAAAAAAGTTTTTGCAGTAAAAGGCAATACAAGAATCTCTGTATTTTTAAAGTGAACAATGGCCATGAGCATTAAGATATTTAGTGAAGAATTATTTTACTGAATTGTGTGATACCCTTGAACACTGCAGGTTCAGTGGATAGGAATGAATTTTTTTAGATTTTTTAAGTTTTTTAGTGCTTGCCTATAATACAAAACATTGACAGTTAAGGGCCATAATTCAAATAAAATCTTTGACAGAATTACCTTCTCCTGGACATGTTTGGGAATCATGATTGTAAACAAATATTCCAACTTTCAAATTAATATCTCAAACAGTTCAGTCAAAAAGTGGACTGGTACTAAAAACTTAACCAAGATTCTAAGTCGATAAAAGGCCTTAATTTTTAAAACAAATCCTTGACAGAGTTACCTTCTCTTGCGTACAGATGGGGGTAATGATGTGAAATAGCATTAAAAGTTTCAAAGCAATATCTCAAAGGGTTAAGGCAATAAGTGGATTTTACCCATATTCAATGTATTTTCTAAGTCAAAAAGGGGCATAATTCTGTCAAAAACCTTGACAGAGTTATGTCCTCTTGTCTGTTGATGAAGGTCGTGATGGTAAACAAGTATGGTCAGTTTCAAAGCAATACCTCCAATGGTTTTGAAATAAAGTGAGGTGGTACAAAAAACTTAACCAAGCTCAATACACTTTCTAAGTCAAAAAAGGGCCATAATTCTGTCAAAAACCTTGACAGAGTTATGTACTCTTGTCTGTAGATGGAGGTTATGATGGTGAACAAGTATGGTAAGTTTCAAAGCCATACTTGTAATACTTCTGAAATAAAGTGGGGTGGTACGAAAAACTTAACCAAGGTGTGACGCCAACGCCGACGCCAACGCCGACGCCGACGCCGACGCCGGGGCGAGTAGGATAGCTCCCCTTTTCATAGAAAAGTCGAGCTAAAAATTGAATAAGAACTATATATTAATCAATGTATCCATAGAACATGGATATCTCCAAGTTCACTGTTTTGTCAGTTAACAGACTCATAGCATGACAGCAGCAGAGATGGACAAGGGTAAATTTATACACCCAGGGCAAAAGACACTTGAGCATTATAATGGGGCACAGTATAATTGGGCGGTAAGGTAAGTGCAAGCCAGGGATGTTATTGTTATGGTAATTTTCTGTAATTCTCGTTCAGACAGACAGACAGACAGACAAATCAGACTGCCACCTAAGGTCAAAAAGATAATTGTTTATGTAATTTAAAGGACATGTTGGCAACTTTGAGTGGTATAGGTACATATGACTTACTCTGACAGGAAATCCATCCTCACTGGCTGTTGAACTGATTTTCTCGGCATACTGTGGATATCTCGATGCCAACATGTCCATAAATGCTTCCTTACTCCTATCTGTCTCCTGTAAATATACAACAATAATATACATGAACAATAATATACATTAACAATAATACACATTAACAATAATATACATTAACAATAATACACATTAACAATAATATACATTAACAATAATATACATGAACAATAATACACATTAACAATAATATACATTAACAATAATATACATTAACAATAATATACATTAACAATAATATACATTAACAATAATATACATTAACAATAATATACATTAACAATAATATACATTAATAATAATATACATAAACAATAATATACATTAACAATAATATACATTAACAATAATATACATTAACAATAATATACATTAATAATATACATTAACAATAATATACATTAACAATAATATACATTAACAATAATATACATAAAACAATAATATACAACAATAATATACATTAACAATAACATACATTAACAATAATATACAACAATAATATACATTAACAATAATATACATTAACAATGATATACATTAACAATAATATACATTGATAATAATATACATTAACAATAATATACATTAACAATAATATACAACAATAATATACATTAACAATAACATACATTAACAATAATATACAACAATAATATACATTAACAATAATATACATTAACAATGATATACATTAACAATCATATACATTAACAATCATATACATGAACAGTTTAATAAAACAATAATATACATTAACAATAATATATAATTAATGATATACAAGCAGTAACTAACAAGTATAGACAATTAATTTATTTCATACAGATATCTGTTATATCATGAACTGTTCTATAGCAAGAATTATATATAACAAACATTTAATACAGGTACAAACACCATCTACTATTATATAAATTATACAATAGTACAAACAATTTAGTGAACTGAATAGTGTTATCAAGATATGGGTAGTGAATATTTTGTTTGCCCTCAATAAAATTATAAACAAAACATTCATCTGCCTGTAATATTACCTGTACAGGTGTGAGCACAGTTTTTTTTTTATTTAAATAAGACTCATGGTGTCAGATTCCTGACACAATTACTGATAACATTAATATAACCCTGTCCTGTCACAGTATAAAGCAAGTACTAGTATAGATGTAATGGTATTCTGTGTCAAAATGCTTCCCCTTAAATTTCTTTCTTCACAACTGCACAATTTAAACAGACATGCATTAAGGTAGCATTTTATTTGGCCCTTGTAAAGGTATGTAGTGTTACACCAATCCGTCAAGCCTTTTTATGCTTGTGTTAACCTTGCTTTCCAGACAAAGGGAGAAAACTTGCATAAATCTCATATCTATCTGTATTGTAACAGTCCAAGAATATTGGCATTTCTTGAAATACTAAACCAAATTCATTCCAAGTGAAATGAGAAATCAATAGATTTGTGATAGAAATTATAATGAGGTGCACAATTTAATTTCCTTTCTAAGTAATGATGTTTGCAGACAGCCATTAAAACAAATATATCTGCTGTCAAAAAACAGACAACAATTTAAGGTGAATGTAATTTTTTTCCTAGTTAAAATCTTCTGCAAAATCTGATGTGTCTTAAGTGCTAACATTAATAACATGTCTACATGAACTAGCATACAACACTGTTAAGGTCATAATGCAAACTTCAATAATAAAAATTCCCACTTTGGCATGCACTGAATTAATTCAGACACAAGTATTAGCACCTATGTAGAACCATGGACTCTCTCACAAGCTATATATATTTTCTCTTCCTAGTAGGATTCAAACCACAAAAGAGTGAAGACAATATATTATAAAGCAGCCTGATTTACACACATTTATAGAGTTTTCTGTAAAATTACATGCATGTTGTTGCTAAGCATCTCTTAATTCTTTTAATTTATTTTTTTTTCATTCATATTCATCCTCCATTTCAGATGAAATTTTCCAGCAAAGGTAAAACAAATTGATACAAAAGTATGATAATTCAAGAAATTATTGTCTAGTAGATTTACTAATGTCTATTATGACAACTCAGCTACTGACAGACCAATCTAACTCTTCATGATAGAGTCTTGTTTGATATTACTAATCAAGCTCTTCAGGAAGGAGTTTTATTTGTTATTATCAATCTAGAAAAGTTTTAATCATTTCCTGTCTGAGGAACATGACAATTTGCTCTCTCACAGACAATATTAAGAAACAATTGTTGGCTTACATTTGATGTTTGACACTATTCTGTTACTCTAATGAATTTTCAGGAGAAAATCGGTGACATTTCCTTCAAAGGTGCAATATTTCTATACTGGTATCGCCTATACACTAACTTTCCAGAAGTTCTTAAAATCAACCTACCATTAGAAACAGGCAGTATTTGCCATAGTTACAATAACAAATTAAAAAGCTAGTAATGATGCACATAACACATTATTTATATGCCTTAACTTGCTCAAACCCAAAGTAATCAACCTCTGTCAGCAGTAAAAGGCCTGACCTGTCTTCACTTCCGTGCAGTTGACCAGGCTATTTACTGCAGGCCAGTATCTCAATTTCTGTATTTTGAAATTGAAATTCCAAAATCTTTAAAATGTTCCAAATTTAAATCAGTACACATACAATTTGAACAGCTTACTAAGGTATAATTATCCCTAGTATAGAAGTTATTTGTTGAATACTTAATCAATATACATCAAATATTTCTTCTATTACTACTCAGATCAAACATTTTATATTTTGAAACAAATGCAAGAAAAGCCTGCTCCCTATGACATATAAAAACATAAACTCGTAGCGAAAAAAGTTCTTTTTTCCAATATTTATTGCATATGAATCTTCAATGTTTTTAGAATATCAAAATGCTTCCAAAGACCTTTAAGTTACAATCATTATCCACAACTGCTCTTACAACATCAGATTGTCATATCTTATCAACTGTATCAACATTAATTTTTATCTTTGATATTTTATGCAAATCCATTACCTCCCTTTATACATCAGGATGAAAACTTTGCACACTTGCGGGAACCGTTATAGTTATAAAACACATATTTCCCATGCTATAAGATATATGGAAACTTCATATAACCTTTGTATAACCTTCATAGAGTAAAGTCAGTGCCAATATTTTTTTTTTAATAATTAAAAAGGGAGATAATTTGAAGCAGTTTTTAAACAAAACTAACAAAAATCATACCAATGAGCATGTAAGATTTAGGTCTCCAGCCTTCACTGAAACACAAGATATTGTAGACTAAAACAAGAGCTGTCACAGGAGACAGCGAAGCTCGACTAATAAAATACTGGACGCAGTAAGGAGGACAAAACTATGAAAGAAAAATCAAAAATGTATAATTATGTATTAAGTTATAGTAAAAAAAATAATATTTGTTAACATAAATTCCAAAATCAAGGGGAATAATTCTAGAAATAGTCATGCTAGAGTTATGGACCTTGTCAAACAACATTTGTGTAATGATAAGAAATATATATTTGAAGTTTGAAGTAGATACCTTAAAAAGTAAAGAAGTTATTATATTTCTTAAAGAAAATCCTAAGTTCAAAGAGAGATAAATGTGTAAATATTGCTTCAAGAGTTATGAACATTGTCACATAAAATGTAATTGATGATAAGGAATAAGTATTTGAAGTTTGAGGTATATATCTTTAAAAATAAAAAAGTTATAATAAAAAATAACATTTTTCTAGTAAAATAATCTAAGTTTATGGGGAGATAATTCTTGCAATATTGGTGCTAGAGTTATGAGCCTTGTCACATAAGATGTGGATGATGATAACGTAAATATATTTGAAGTATGAAGTTGATCCCTTTAGAAATAAATAAGTAACAGTAAAAAAATAGTACTTTTTGAGGAAAATTCTAAGTTCAAGGGGAGATAAATCTGAAAATATTGGTGCTAGAGTTATGAACCTTGTCACATAAGATGGGGATGATGATAAGGTACATATATTTTAAGTATGAGGTTGATCCCTTAAGAAATAAAGAAGTAACAGTAAAAAATAGTATTTTTTAAGGAAAATTCAAAGTTCAAGGGGAGATAAATCTGAAAATATTGGTGCTAGAGTTATGAACCTTGTCACATATGATGTGGTTGATGATAAGGAACATGTATTTGAAGTTTGAAGTTGATACCTTAAGAAATGACAAAGTTATAGTGAAAAATATTTTACTGCACCAAAACTTTAATCTAAAATCTGGACGCGGACGCGGACGCCGACGCCGACGCCGACGCCGGGGCGAGTAGGACAGCTCTCCATATACTTCGTATAGTCGAGCTAAAAACCATATTATCATCTAAATAATGAAATAATGCTCACAGATATTTGGATAGTTGAACATCTTTTAACATCCAAAAGGTGAATCAGACATGGCCACACAAACAGACAACTAGCAGCATGCAGTATGTAATCAAATACCTACCTCAACAAAAATCAACTCATCCATTCTAGGTTTGCGAACAAATTGTGGCTTTTTTAATATTCCTCTGAGTGGTCTCCCTTGTTTATATGTATATTCCAGAAGTGGTAATCGTTCAACATTTCTTTTAAGCAAGTCTCTTTCATATTGTTTTTCATAGTATTTACAATAACGAGCATTACAATGTCCAATTTCATAATTACGTTTGTTATTATAAAGAACTTTAGAATGTGATCTATTTTTAGTTTGTGTATGCGCAGGTAAATATGAAAGCCCAGATCTTTGCTGTTGCTGGAAAGTTCCGTTTCTTTGGCTCTGGCCTTGCCCTTTATAGTAATGTGGTCCCTGTTTTAATCTAAGAACTCCTTCCTTGACATGTACTGACCTTGACCCTGACCTCCTTGGAGACCTTCTACATGATTCTGACCTTTGTTTCCTTCTCAATCCTACCTTGTCAAACACATATGTTTCTTCAGAGTTACCTTTCCTATGTAACTCATCGGATTTTTGTGGTTGCCCTCCCATACAACCTAAGATGGCATCCCGCATCTTACAAAAAATGCATCCTCGATGCATAAGG